AAATACTAATGCATGAAAATCCTAACCTCAAAAAAATCACCCGTTATCTGGAACCCGAGCTTAATATACGACGAACACGGAACGTGACAATTCTGTAAGGGAATGCGAGCCGCCACAGAGATATTGGCCATATGGACCCGAATTTGGGTTTCGGTTTTGTAAAATCAATTTTCTTGATCGGGCATATCGCAAGCCCAAAAATGCGCTTCGAATTTCTAACGAGCGCCAAAGATCGGGACGTTTTAAGGCACATCTGGAGATAGGTCTGGTAAAATCTTCTTTCAATGTACGTCTTTGTATGTAGAACTCCGCGGCTTTAGAGCGACCGGGATTTGTCTCATGCCTGAAACATGAGTAGAATACGATGCATTAACAATTTTTGACAAAATTGAAACTCGACAAGCGAACAATGTATTCTAAAAGATTTGTGATACTAGTTTTGGCACATCCATACCCGCATAAAAAGCATAAAATATCGGGCACCTGATATTCATATAAAATGAAGATATATTATAGTCTATAAATTTCCACAGAATTTGAAGCCTTTGAATATAAGATAATAGAAAGTAAAACAAACTCTACTGTTTTTTTACCGATAGAGTTCTCGGCCATTGATGCCAGTTTGCACGATTGATTGACATAAACTTTGTGGACTTTTGAAAGAAACTTTACTATTAAGACCCTGTAAGTAGAATTGTTAAATGATTTGCACAACCAGCGTTTCAGAGCACGCTGCGTAAAGCTTGTCTTATAACAAAAAATATAGTTTAGAATGTGATCATAACATTTTTTTTATAAAAAAGCGTTGGTTATGAAAGATAGAAAGCTTGAATAATGCCCATATTTTCTTTAATTTTATCTCCTTCATGCTCAGGATTTTTCAGTACTCTTGGAACTTATTACTTTGTGAGGTTTTCTTTCGATTAGTGAAATGTATTTCAGAATTTCAAAATTAAATTGAGATAGTGAAGTAACATATAATGAAATCAGAATCACATGACTCTCGTATACCATAGGTATATCTTAGTTGCTCCTTTACATACCTAACACACACGTATGTAGGTATGTGTGTTTTTGGGGCTAAGTTACATATTTTTGTGTGTACAGAACATCCTCAGCCAAAACAAATGTTAAGCATTTATCAGTGGGAATGACATATTTACTTAAGTCTTTTTGTCTCGACTACCTATGCACTACGTGTTAAATTACCATTACTTTACTCACAGAAACTTAAAATTATGACTTTACAATGACTTTTCGGGAGCGCCTCGATTACTTTTGGATTCTATAATATATACATAACTACCCACAATAATTCCTATTTACATGATTGAACTCGCACCTACTTTACAGTCAATTTTTACATAAAGCACCTCAACCATAATATATATATTTTTTAACTTTTCTAACTTTCAACATTCCCTTTCGCTTACTATCAATCATTATCTATCATCCATCAGCTGCTTACATTTTTCCACCTGCTCCAGCACTCGATCAATGCGATCGCTGAGTATCTTAATTGATTTATCCGGCAAAGCTGGCAGCACATCCCGCACTTCCTCGCTCGCCGTCTGCTCGAACAATTCCCGTAGCTTGCGTCCCGCACCGGCCGCACGCAGTTGCTGCATTGCCTGTATGGTGGGCTCACGGAATACGCACAAATTGTTCAGCAGCAGACCATGGTAGGCCTCGTATTTCTTGAGCAGTCTATAGCCGTGCAGCAAACCGGATTCGTTGTCGAGAAAGATAAGTAGTTGTGAATTAGATTGGCGTGCCAAATTATGCGCAGGCGCGGCCATAATTTCCGCATTCCACTGATAGTTGTAGAGATTGTTAACAACGCGATCGAGGTTCGCTATCAAATAGTCGAAGACAATCAAATCCGACCATTGAGCGAGCTCAACCAGCCGCTCCAGAGCGAGTGAGGTTGGCGTGACTAATATATCCAGGGACGAATCAGAGAAGGCAGACATCGGTGGGCTCGGCGCTTGAACGCTATTGACAGAACCATACGAGTCGCGTCCACTGGCTACCAAACTTTCAGCCACCAAAGGCTGTGGCGCTGTGGCCGCTTTGACAGATGTCAAAGCCCGAGTAATATTCCATACATCGTGTTTGTTCAAATGTCGATCGAGCGGTTGGAATGGCTGAGGTATGCCGGCGGGCTCGAGATTGGGCAGCCAACGCGTCAGCACCACCGGACGCTGCTGTTGCCACTGCGCTTCTGTTATGTCGTGCACCACGTTGGACCACTTCTCCGTCTCACCATTCACAGTTACCACGGCACTAGGCGCGAGGTTGCTCATATTCAGCAAGCGTCCCAGATAGAATGAGAAGATTTCGCCTTGGATTTGGTCGGTGTTTTGGCGGTATCGCGCACAAGCGCGTGTGCCGTCGCTGAAGACCATCATGCGGTTTTGCATGCGTCCGCAGCCTGGTTCGAGGCGTTGCACCACAGCTGGCGATGTCACATAAGCATTCCAATCACGCGTGTCTTGTGCGCTGAAGCCTTTTGGTAGGGCGCGTTCTACCTGCTCGCCCCAGAAGATGTTTGAGTTAATGATGCCCAGCAAGCGGCGCTCAAGCGGATGTTTCTTCTTCTGCACAGTGGGCCGTTGGAGTGTTTGCTTCGTTAACACAACAGCGGGGGCAGAGTCGAAAGCCGTGCTTGGTTTCGAAGCATATTGGCCTAATGGTTGTCCCAGAGGCTTATCTATGATGTTATGCACCGTAAAAGAAGACCGTCTTTGCGCACTTAAATGTACGTTGTCACTTAATATTTCTTCAGCGTTGACTCTCGCATGTCTGTCACTGATGAAGGCCACCGAAAACGGGCTGAGCGGACCAACACTGAGATCGCCAATCGTAGCTGTCGGTGTATGATTGCGCTGTGGCTTGTCGCGAGGCAGTGGTTTCCAATACAAATCAGCGGCTATGCTCGGCGCAAGTTTGTTATCTAAACTTTTTGAGCTATCTGGAGACGTATGCTCTATCAGCGGCCCCGCTCTTTGCGCACTTGACATATTTAAAAATACATGACGAAGATCAAGCATTGGCACGAAGACGCCAAGCAGCAGGCCGAAGATGAAAGCGACCATAATACAGAGCAGGCAAGTCTGTCGCTGAAACCAGCGCCGTCGACTAAGCGGCAATAGCGTGAAGGACGCCGATGATTCACTGCTGGGATAGCGATACGGCGGCGGCATGACGCTCAGACTGTGCTGCAGTGAGCCAGCGGCTGCGTTATCGGCGCCGTGCGTAATATAGGCGGCGCTGTTAATTATAAGCTCTGGAGGTTGGACTTTGGCGTACGACGTGTCCAAATGTTTTTCGTTATCTCCGATGGATGGTTGACAAGTTCGATTAGTCGAATTATTGTTGGCTTGTGTTGCGTTTTGGAATTCGTCATGCATGGTTTTGTATTGATTTTGCGAATGGTCGGAAGCTTTAAGCTTAAATTTGGCGGTGAAAGCTCGAATGATGTTGGAATGAAAGCTCGAACTCTCAGTGTTGTTAGTGCTTGCTTTGCTCGGGCAGCTTGTCATGCTGGCACCATTTTCCAGTTTTGCTTTGGTTCACTAAGTGTTTTCTAAATGAATAGACGTTTTAAGTTGCGAAATAGCCCTTTCACTCGAAGAGACTTTTATTGTTCTTCCTTGGTAGGATTTCACTGTGTCTGTAATTGAAAAACTTTTATGACACACAAAGTTTATTTAGCTATGCGCGCAACAAAAGCTTGTCTTGCATATTTGATCGATACATATATGGTATGGTACTGCAGATTTACGACACAGTTTTTATATTAAATTTTTTTTCTATTTTTCATTGTACATTGCCATTTGCACTTATGAAGATTTTTATTATTCAATTCAATCAGCATTAAGTTAGAATGAGTTGTCAAACACCAGATATTTTTAATGGATGCTTGTATGTGCACATTCGATATTTTCAATTAAGCTGTAAGCACTTGGATTTGCATTAATTTTTTGCCTTGAGTATGGTTTATAAAATGTTCACAAATGCCTTTTTATTATGTTGAAGGTCGCCGGAGTATTCACCATTTTATTTTCTATTTCTCACGACTTTTCAAGTTATTCAGCAGTGTATATTTTGGATAGTAGATTTTTCACTATTTCCAGCGTAGCCGTCGGTACGATTATCAGACGTTGCTGCTCAAAGGTTTTAAGGGCACATAAAACACATTAGTCTTTGTTCCTTACATTGGATGGCATGTAATTTTTCTATCTGCGACAGTTTGCAAGCGACGTATGATCCATAAAATTGCATAAAAATGTGTCATAGACGTACGTGCATATTTGTGTTTGTATGTTCAAACATTCACCGATCCGTGGCAAACCGTGTGGCCGATACCGACATTCGACTTTGAAGCTGGGAAGTAACAGCAAATTACACGACTGCGTTTCACCAAGTACTACACACACAAGTTACTTCAGTAAGCATCGCTTGCCGTGCGCTAGTTCTCTAGTTCTAGTTCTGCACAATTTTTAAATACAAAAAAAAAATCGTAAGCACAGCTTGCAATTTCATAACATTCGCACCCATTTTTTAGTTCACTCAAATTGAAAACCATATCAGAAGTTTCCCATTAATTCTACCAACACATTGTTTTTTTCAATTAGCACCGTGTAAAAGTTCTCCGCTTTTCGTACCGCACGCAACGAAATCCAACTGCAGACTGACTTAGAATTGCTCGCTGCACAACATTAAAGCAGCACTGGGCGCCAGCCACCGTCACCAACACTCTTCACTCATAGCCAGACAGCCAGCCGGCCAGCCAACAGGCGCTCGCTCACAGCCCTCGCTCGCCGATCCGCACCACCATTCACGCGCATTCATTCATTGACTCACAAACACCAGCACGGACCACCACCTGAGTATCGAATGCACCGAAGCAGGCAGAGGAAGGCAAAAGAAGGTAGGACATTTTGCACCAACAATCAGTCGGACCGGGCCACACTGCCTGGCTGGCTGGCTGGCTGTCTGGTTGGGGACAGTTTCAAATATTTGCTGTTTGTTGGAATGTGTGTGCGCTTGTTTTTTTTTCGTGCGGGGCATGCAACGTGCGCCACTGTGTTTACTAACAAACACACATGCGCGCGTCAATCGACCGGCGGAGAGATTACCTGTACTACGCGTGTATTGGTGAGTTGAGATTTCCGATCTCCGGCTACGATTGCAGTCGTCGTCGTCGTCGTCGTCGTCGTCGTCGTGGTCGTTGCTACAATTAAGAATGTGTGAAAAAGAGCATAAACGTCCGTAAATATTAACTAATTGCTCTTGTTTTGCCCCCACTTTAGTTGATGTGTAAGTTCATCGGTTGTTATACAACAATATATTTTTATGAGTTGGTTAGGCAGTCAGTGTACACTGAAGGTTTCCAAACATAATTAAGCTGTCTGTCGTGTGAAGTATTCTAAATTTTGTTTCAAATAGCTGATGATTGTACTATATACATACATATCTAATTTATGTGCACACTTTTGTATAAATTTATGTATTGTGTACAGAATAATCATTGCAAACGGCACACCCAGCGTGGGAAGATGAGTGTGATTAAAAAATCGAAAAAGAATTTGTTAAAAGCTTCGTTGGAAGTTTGTGTCTTAAGTCTTTTGTTTGTTGTCGTTTGCGGCGGCGGGCTATTGGCTATTGGCTCGTTTCAAAAACATGTATTTATATATTAATATCTGAAATAAATACATTATTTGCACTACCTGTGTATTGAAAAAGAATTTCTTTGAATGCATAAAACAAAAATATAATAATTTATTAAAATAAGAACAGAGTTATAGAAGAGAGTTTTTGAGCTAACAGCGGATATGCTCAGAAAATGTGTGGCAACTGTGTAAACTGTTAAAAAACAAAATGATTTTATTGAATACTAAACAAAGAAAGAAATAGTCAATAATATAAAACGTATATATTTCGATTATCTGCGCAGAACCGCTGAAGTTCAAGATTTCTATTTGTTGAGCGATCGAATTTCTCCGTTTTGTTTAAATTTGCGCTAATTTGTGTAAGAAATCTTATTAAACACCGATCTATATTAAAAAACCTTGTTCTTGGCTTATTGTGGCAGATAATTTTAAGTAAAAAAAATATTAAACTTATTATTTTATTAAGTATTTCTGAGCAGTTTAGTTCTAAATGGAGGCACGTTAGTTAAATGTAAAGAAAAAATATATAAAATCTCTTTAGATTACAAAAAAAAAACTCAATTAGTTTTTAGTGTTTTAAAACTAAGTAACAGCTATTCCCTAAATTCTGCCGTAATTCCAGCCGACGCAGATATTCGAAGTCAGATGCGAAGGATGGCACACCCAGCGTAGAAAGATCGAGAATTTGTTAAAAGCTTCGTTGGAAGTTTGTGTCTTAAGTCTTTTGTTTGCTATCGTTTGTGACGGCGAGGTATTAGCTCGTTTCAAAAATATGTACTAATATTTAAAATAAAATAAAAAAATGCCTGTGCTAATTATTAATAACGAAATTTTTACTTTTTTTGATTTTTGGGGCGCCTTTAGACGAACTAACGTATTTCACTATTCACGTATTTTAGAATCCTCATTGGTCGGGACAGTGTTGACAGATCTTGGCGTCGGCTCGCAACTGCGGACGCTTGTAGACAAATACTAGAATGCGGGGTAGTTAAGGTTAATCCGGTTGGAGTATCGACGACTAGGTTTGTCAGCAGGCATACCCCTGCTAACAGCCATCACACTCCGGAAATTATCCAGCTGGAAAACAGACCCCGTGGTCATACTAAAATTTGGATGGGCTTCGGCCGCCGGAATTAACGAATTACTGAGTGCCAACCACAACCTTCGAAATCCCTAGCAGGAATCAACGACCCCAGCACTTACTGCATTGCTACACTGGGGGTTCTAAAATCGAAAACGAGACCGGAAGGAGAGTTTACTAAGAACAAATAGGAGTGCAAAAATCTTTCCGCCTAGCCTCTTCCAAACCGTACAGCCGGCCATACAGGATGCAATAATATCTACATACATATATTTTTCAGCCAATCAATTCAAGCGCCCTGAATTATGTTCCAGGTAACTTGGAACCCTGGTATAGGTGCCCAGACAAAGACATATACCAGGCAATGAGATGAGGGACGAGCTCGCAAAAGAAAGCCATTCGCTTCCACTTCTCCTTGTGCTACCACAACAGACCCAATTGAGGAAATGAGTGTACTGGTGTGTGAAATATTTTAATCCCATTTTCTTTTAATGAAATTCTGTTTCAATATTTTTCATAAATTGGTTTGTTAAGCAGCCATTTTTTATAGAAATATTATGTTTATTGTTATTGGCTTACAAAAAAAAAACCAAATGAGATATTTTAATTTATTTGTTCAGTCCGGAATTTAAAAAAACTGTAATTTGTAACAGAAATTGATTTAAGTAACTGCAATCTTGTCCAAAAACTGTAACTGACAGTTACAACTGGTAATCTGGCAACATTGCCACCTACCGTCACTTTGACTTCACCTAACCCCAACATAGATCTTCTAAAAGACAAATTAAAATAACAAAATCTATCAAAAGCGGTGCTACAAATTAGTTGTTTAGTTTAAAGTTAAAACTCAAAGCTTTTATAAAAAGATTTTTCTATATCGGATATGAATATGGAGGCATTTTTGGTAGTACGATGGATTCAGTTTCAATTTTAAGCATAAAGAATTCTTATTTCAATACCTTCACTGACTAAGTCAAGCATTTTTGAGAAAACTGTATATCTGGAATATTAATTTAAGGGCTGGATAAATATTTTTAAATTAAATTAATTTAAACTAGTGTTCGCCCAGCGGTTGAAATTCAACCGATAAAATTAAGGATAGTTTATGTAAGTTGAATGAGCTAAAATAACATTAGTTGGAATGGGTTAAGTGGAGGGGAGTTTAGCTTAGTACTTGGCATAACATAACATAACCATAACATAAGAATAAATAACATAACATATGAAGCATAACACACCACAATATAACATCGCACACTCTTCAGTTGTATTTCCTTTTTATCACCTCTATCTAAATCTTATTTATTTTGGTTCATTTTATGCCAAATGATGTTGCCTTTGATGCCACATCAAGTGATATCATGTCATGTGGTGAAATTGGGTGTGGTGAGCTGCGGTGTGGTGGAATTGGGTGTAGGAGTTACGGTGTGGTGAATTTAGGTGTGGTGGATTCAGGTGTGGTGAGTTAAGTTATGGTGAGAAAGTTGAGGTGTGGTGAGTTAAGGTGTGGTGAGAAAGTTGAGGTGTGGTGAATTAAGGGTGGTGGATTTAGGTGTGGTGGATTTAGGTACGGGGGTTAAGGTGTGGCGAGTTGAGGTGTGGTGAATTTAGGTGTGGGGAGTTAAAGTGTGGTGAATTAATGTGTGGTGAGCTCAGGTGGAGTCAGTTTTTAAGTTAAGATGAGTTAAAGTTAAGGGGTTATGATCTTTATCCTTATCTTCATCTTCATCTTCATCTTCATCTTCATCTTCATCTTCATCTTCATCTTCATCTTCATCTTCATCTTCATCTTCATCTTCATCTTCATATCCACCTTCGTTTGTATTTAGGTTTCTTTACTTTTATTCTAATCTTTGCCTTTATCCCTTTCTTCTTCTACATATTCAACTTTACCTTCTTCCTTGCATGAATCTTAATCTTCGTAAATCTGATTTCTAAACTGCTGCTTAGCAGATTTCTTTAATTCAGTATCAATATTAAAGCAATGTCATTGATGCCACATAAAGTGATATCATGTCATGTGGGGAAATTGGGTGTGGTGGTTTGCGATGTGGTGGAATTGGGTGTGGGAGTGGGTGTGGTGGGCTTAAGAGGTGCGGTGAGTTTAGGTGTGGTGAATTTATCTGTGGTGAGTTGAGGTGTGGTGAATTTAGGTGTGGGGAGTTAAGATGTGGTGAGTTGAGGTGTGGTGAATTAAGGTGTGGTGAATTAAGGTGTGGTGAGAAAGTTGAGGTGTGGTGAATTACGGTGTGGTGGATTTAGGTGTGGGGGGTTAACGTGTGGTGAGTTGAGGTGTGGTGAATTAAGGTGTGGTGAATTTAGGTGTGTGGAGTTAAAGTGTGGTGAGTTGAGGTGTGGTGAGTTGAGGTGTGGTGAGTTAAGGTGTGGTGAGAGAGTTGAAGTGTGGTGAATTACGGTGTGGGGGTTAAGTTGTGGTGTGTTTCATCTTCGTCTTTATCTTCATCTTCATCTTCATCTTCATCTTCATCTTCATCTTCATCTT